AATCTAGTTCAACATCTGAGGCAACGCCACAAAGAGCTCTATGACCAATGCATGGCAAAAACAATTCCCTGGACACAGGATTTTTTTTTCTTCTGCCATACATGTCTATTCTAGAGACATTTTGTTACACCTTTACTTAGTGATTATTTTGCCTTATGTCTGTTCTAGAGACATGTTACAGCTTTTTGATAAAGCTGTAATTGGTTTTCTTTTGGAAATATGTTTCAAATTCACACTGAATGCATTAATGACTGTAAAGCATGTCTGTGAGTGTCGAAATCGCAAAATTGATCAAGATAGTTTTTCTTCCCATATCGCACAGCCCTAAAAGAAACGCAGTATTGTGGCATTTTCAATTACAAAAAAAAGAAAAAAAGGGTCATTCTGCTGATATGCACGTTTACGCCATGTTTCCTTACCTGAAATGTGGGTTCTTATGTAGCCATTCACGATTTATAGGCCTTCGATCCTGGTTTTGAATTAAGTCTCTCTTGTTTGTTTAAATAAATGGCAGTTGTCAAGGATGTCAATACTGGAATCATATGTACGCCGAGATAAAACCTGTGTGACTGGTTATCATACCAATCGAAGCACGACTTTCCTAACTGTTGGCACTGTATTGTCCAGAACATGAAAACTGGAACTGTTACTCGACTTGTTTTTCCCCCCGCCGGTCCAAGACCTCCCAAGTTTCCAGGGAAGTTGTATTGTTGAACTTTGGCGATGGCTTAAACATTTTTACTGGCTTGAGTCATCCGGACCTAAGAAATGCACAGGGAGACGTTCCTTTATAGGATTTCTGTTTTAAAGTGCGGCTGTATTCGTTTACATTGTGTTAACATGGTTAACGGCATGATTAGATCTTGAACTTGAACATATAAAAGTTTGTATCTCCTCTTTTTAGAAAAGGAAAAGGCTGTTCTGTTTAAGGTTTCTACACTTTTATTTATTTCAATATAGGGTTATTGAAAACCAAGTTAAAATGTATCACATTTTGGTACCTATCACAGATTACAGCATGCTGCTTTTCAGCACAAAATTGTAAAAACTTATTTGTCAAAGTTGTAAATAAAACGGATTATTAATTACAAAGTAAAAATTGTTTCACCGTCAATTTTCAGTGTAGAAAAAGTGTCCAAAATATTGACAACATAAGAACAGTAAGGATTTATATATAATAAATTATTATACATAGTTCTTTTCTTAATATTTTGGTCCATTAAATGATGATACCAGTGTTGTCTAATAATCTTAATCTTAATAATATATTTTATTTTCAAAATTGTATAGCATTTTTCAAAACACATTTTCAAAGCAGCTTAACAGAAAATACTTGTTTTAATGTTACAATTAATAAGTATTCTGTTATCAGCCAGAGCAGAGTGTGTTAAAGAATCGTATTATAGCTGTATATTACTTTCATATGGACATGTTATGTGGTTAGTTAACACTGTGTATTCCATTAAGCAAACAACAAATGTGTTAGGCAGCAGTTACAACTTGTGAATGAATCAACATACAAAACTATTATCCTTATAAAGTTGGCATCATCCGGAGTCTTCGCAAATGTTGTTGTTGTCGTCGTCTAAAACCTTCCAAAGGCTGGATCCAAACTGGAGCCAAATACGGAAAAGCTCCAGATAGATCTTGATATCCTTGGTGCTCTCAAAAATCCAGAGGCTGATATGAAACTGGAGTCAAAATATGATCTAACCCTGTTCCAATGTTGTTGTTTTGTCATCCTCAGGCACGGGTGAGAGCGGCAAGAGTACGTTCATCAAACAGATGCGGATCATTCACGGGACAGGCTACACTGATGAGGACAAGCGCGGCTTCACCAAACTGGTCTACCAGAACATCTTCACCTCCATGCAGTCCATGATCCGTGCCACCGAGCACCTCAAGATCCCGTTCAAATACGAAGACAACAAGGTGACTGCTGCACGCTGAACAATCCCTGGCTGTCACTGCACTGTAATCATCTCTTTGATGCCCAGAGTGCACGTCGAGATGCAAATCAAAACCAGATAGGCCATAAACGTGGCTGTAAAAAGCACTACAAGCCTCGCTTGTAAATGTTATTGCCGTCACACCATGGTCAGCTGTCTTTCTTCAGTGCAGGGTTACAGTTAATTATTCTCATGTTTTGGTTTTGAAGAATCAGTTAATATTTCCTAAAGAAGATCCTTAAACTTTAACTCGACAACTTGTGCCCTAGTTGGTTCTAAACCCCGCTGGAAGTCATTAGTATTACACAGCCATTAAGACATAAAATGGGCTGTTTACTGTGTAATGTGTCTTTATCCATAGAACAACGCTCTGCTGATGCGAGAGGTCGACGTGGAGAAGGTTTGCTCCTTCGACCAGCCCTATGTCAGTGCAATAAAGATGCTCTGGGCGGATCCAGGCATCCAGGAAGCCTACGACCGCAGGCGAGAGTACCAGCTCTCTGACTCCACTAAATAGTAAGTGTGTGTGCTGTCATTAGCCATTAGCTCCTTTTAACTTTATTGCTTTTAATTGAGTTGTCGAATGCTACAATATTATTATATATTTATTTATGTATTTATTTTTTAATTTTTTTAAATACCGGGCCTTTATTTCCTATTTCTTGATTTGATATTTATCCCTAGACCTTCAATCTTAAAATGTACCAAGGCTCTGCAGAGGAAGTTTGAAATGTTTAAAACCATGATAATATAAATAACAAAGAAATTAAAAAATATAAAAAAAATAATTTTAATATTTATTGTGATAATGACCAGGGGGCCACTAAATAGTAAGTGTGTGTGCTGTCATTAGCCATTAGCTCCTTTTAACTTTATTGCTTTTAATTGAGTTGTCGAATGCTACATCTCTTCTCAGTTAGAAGCATATTTGTGACAAGTCATAGATGTAAAAATGCAGTATTATGGCCTGTTCACACCAAGAACATAATAACTATATTAGCCTCCACACCAATGGACAATTACATTCTGTTTATTATAAGCGTGCTGCAGTTTTGTCGTCTGCTGCATTAAATGTGAAAGCTCCTTGAAAGTTTTCCTTTGTGTTTTTATAGCTGTGGTGTGGACTTCCATATTCTCATATGGTTATAGTTTGTCATAGTTATTGTCCTTGGTGTGAATGCGCGTTTGCAATACAGTAAAATCACCTTTTTGTGAAAAATGGCATAATTTAGCTTATCATTACACCCACACGGAATCTATGCTCTTACCAAAACTTCCTCAGAATTTAAGTTTTATTTCTTTGTCTTGTTCCAAACTTGTGTACTTTTTAATTTTTTTCAAAAATAAAAGGAGAATTTTTAAAGAATGTTTACGCTGCTTTGTTTGAATACAATAAAAGCTTATAGTGGGCTACTTTTATGGCATATTTTTGCTCATGTGACTTTGTGAAAAGAAAAAAATGGTAATGTATGTTTTCCTGAGCATCATAGACAAATATATTGTCTTGTGAAATCAGTACCGCCACTCCGTATACACAGAGTGCATGTGATCAAGAATGCGAAAGTGAAAGTAAAAAGCGAGCGCGCATTCAAAAACGATTTCAATAGCCTGCATATTGATAATGGCTCCCTGATGGCTTCAGATGATGTACAATATAATTACCCAACTATATACTGTGATTGCGAGGCAACACAAAAGCATAGAAACTATTTTTTCTTCCCATCACATATTTTTTCCATCACCATGTCCCTTTAGGGGCTCTGTAGAATGCAGTATTTGGCTTCGGGCACACCCCTAGACCCCACTTTATTGGTATTTAGATAATATAGGCTTCAAATTTAGCCTTTATTCAGTGCATGAAGTATTGAATGAAAAGTTTTCTGTTGCTACAAGAAAACGTCTGAAATGTCTGTATTTGTCAAATATTGCATCTAATACACTTCATATGTAATAAAGTACGCAAACACCACACGAGCATTACTTTGGGAACCAGAAAGCGTGTGACTTAAAGTCTTCAACTGCAAGTGGCAAACCTCACCGTTCGGTGAATTCCAGCCGCAGCCAAAGTCAAACACACCTATTGTAACATTTTAATCCCTGTTTCGGAAAAAGCAAACAAAGTGCAGGTCTGAAAATCCCCTTAAATCTCATTTGCACTCATGTCAAAATGCGTTGTGCCAGGTTTGACTCAATGTTGACGCACTGTGGCTTGTAACCGAACAAGTCCCGACAAGTTTCAATGGGAAAAAGAGCAGTGTAAAAATTCTCTAAACTTTCTTTTGTGTTCCACGAAAAAATCGGGTCTAAAACAATGAGGATGAGTCAAAATGTTTGTTTTTAGGTTTGAATATTTACATATTTATACTTTTAATGTACCTTTTTTTTTTTAAACCATATTTATATCCGTTCTACAGTTTTTCCAAAACTGCCTGGAAAATATGAAATGTTCGCAAATTTTTTTTCGCGAGTTTCCGTGTGCGAGTTTCCGTGTGGGTCTACTTATATAGTTGTGTATATAAACACATGTACATGCCTCTGTTTCTCACCGGTTCATCCCACAGTTACCTTAGCGATTTAGAGCGTATATCGACTCTGGGATACGTGCCCAGCCAGCAGGATGTGCTGAGGGTCCGAGTGCCCACTACTGGCATCATAGAGTATCCCTTTGACCTGGAGAATATAATCTTCAGGTATCGCCAATCCCACGGCACACCCTCACTGCCGCTGCTGTCTCCTGACCTTTAACCTGCTGCTGCAACTGCACTTCTGCCTTCCCTGATCGCATTCTCACACCCACCCGGGGCTCAACCTTTGCTATTGTTGTTTATTTGCAACTTTTAAAGAGTGTTGTTTTGGGGGAACTCTCTGCAGAGATCATCAGTGGAGTAAGCAGAAGGTTGTGGGGTTGCATCCCAGGATGCTGAGTGGCATTCCCTCACTGCTTTTCCAAAGCTCTCAGGCTCTTAAAGGGATCTGCTGCCATGCTTGATTCTTTCTTCTTCCTTTCTCTCCATCTCTCCTTGTCTCTAGCTATCTAAGTGATTTGGACCGTATCGCAGACCCGTCGTATCTGCCGACTCAGCAAGACGTGCTTAGGGTTCGCATCCCTACCACAGGGATTATTGAATATCCCTTCGACTTGCAAAGCATCATTTTCAGGTAGATCATAATGTCGGAGAGGACTCCTCCACCAGTTTTAATGTCTTCATGTTTGTAACATTTTGCGAATCAGTGCGTTGATCTGGTCCACTTCGGCCAGTTGAACGAACAAGGTTCGATAAGTTTATCAACTTTTCTGTGACATTACTGGCTGTTAATGTCCTTCTTAGTCATTAACCTCTTTGCATCATCATTAACTTCATTAACATTCATCCATTTTTTGTCTTTATCGTTATTTATGCGTACGAAATTCAAGGGATTGAAGGATGATTGGAGACATAAGGGTTCATCCATGTTCTAACCAGAACCAAGTTCTTGGGAGTGATAGCAACACAGTTTTTATGCATTAGAACGTTATTGCTTTGTGTTTTGGTTTGCATTTTGCTTTTGGTTTTGTTTTGAATTTAAAATATATTAATTTAAATACATTAAGCAGTATTAAGCAATCAAATTTTAAAAAGCAGAAGGTGATATGAAGTCTAATTTTTTTAAATTCTCTTTTTAATTTTGATGCATTTTTTGTTTGTCTTTTCACTTGATTTGCATTTTCTTTTTTGCCTTTTTTTTATTTTGTCTTTTCATTTGATTTGCGCTTTTCTTTTTTGCCTTTTTTTCCCTTTTAATTTTTGTTTTTTTAAAGTATGTTTATTTAAATATATTAAGCAGTTTTTTGCAGGACAAAACTCTCTCTAAATAATGTCTTAGTTTTTATTTTAAATGCTCTTTTTTGTTTTGTTTTGCTTTTTTGTTTCACTTGATATTTTTTGAATGCTAGCAGTGTTTTCTTTGGTGAAAGTATCTGCAAATTTGCCAAACCTTCTTTAATAAAGATTTCAATCATGGTTATTATTTGCATAATGAGAAATTGCAATGGCCTTAGTAGGATTTGTAATGCCATTAAAAAAAAAAAATAGTCCATACTACAAAAACTGTATAAAACCAGTCAGAGTTCTTTAAAAGTACTCAGCACCAGACACCGTTTTACCTTTTAAACATTGCAACTCAAGGCCTTAAAGTAGAATCCATTGCACACAAGAACATTACCACACAGGAAGGAATTTGAGCTCAGGCCCTTGAAGGGGGAACGGTTACAAACCACGGCTCGGCAGGTGATGCGGCAATGAGAAGCCCTCCACAACCCCCCAGTTTAGAGCCGAGATGAGAGAGAAAGCCTCTGAAGAGAGGTGATCACAAAAGCCCGCAAATCGATTGGAAGCCAGCGTGTCCAACCCCTCCTACGCACGCTGGCACCAGAAATAACTTCGCTTACAATAAGGTTCCCTCTTGATCCGCACTTGACATGCACAAATAACATTTTTGCAAATGTTTATTGCATTTAAAACAAACAAACACTTTCAAACTACTCTGGAAGGTGGCTGGGTCACATTCCAGGTAAATGTCAAGGTAGATCTGGTAAGTTACCTTCAAGGCCACATTTGATTTCAGGTGACTGCTACTACTGAATGCGGATAACCTGTAGGCGATGTTACGAAATACAGGTGTTTTGGTTAAGTAACCTACATGGTTACACACTAAACTCCTCAACCCCAGCCATTTAAACATTCTGTAACAAGGTTGAGTTGTCTTCCTCTCCGGCTCCTTGTCCTCCAGAGTAAGAGAGCTTATCCTCGTAAGTAGGTCAGCTGTACCTCCTGCAGGAATGGAGGCTGGCTGAAGAGGCTTTATTTTAGGTTGTAGCTCCTGAAGGAGTCCATTTATCAAAGCTTTATGCCTGGCCACTGAGCTAGCGAGACTGTGTTGCCTACATAAAATAAAACCCTTCTCTTATGTTTTCCCTCACCGAGCACGAGTGCAGGTGTGATAGGGGAAAGAAAAATAGCACAGCTGAGAATTCCTCCGATTATTCCCTTCTGTTTTAGCTGGAATCTCCAGTGAGTTTGTCTTCGTACATTTCCATTAATTTTAGGAGCAGTGAGCGTTACCTGACTGCTGACTATGCTGAGCATATTCTTTTAATGCACTTTCATTTTCTGTCTGTTTGCATTAAGAGTGAAACAAAAAACAGTTTGGTCATTCACCTGCTTTAATGCAACATATAACGCATGTGACTATACTATTTGGCTCACTTTCATGTAAAATACAGTTACATGTGGGTGTTTCTTAAACTGTAGGCAGGGTAAATATAATTAAAACTAAAAATATGAAGAAAGTGTCTTTACTTGATGATAAAAAAAATTTTAAAAAATCATATTTCACCTAGTTGCCAAGTTAACATTTCTCATTTTCCTTTAACTTGATGTAAAACTATAAAACTATAGATGTTAAAAAAAATTAAGAAAAATGACACGCTACAAAATTACCAAAACATTTGCTAAATTAAAATTCATAAAACAAGTTTATCAAATAAGCCAGGCTTATTTCAGTTAGTGACTTATTGTCACTTGATTTGGTTTCATAAAGCAAATTTACCATGGCTCAAGCTCAGTCACTCTGGCAACTTCTGCTGGGAAACTAACCTGGTCCGGAGCAGGCTAGCTGTCAGGCTAAGCGGAGTTCCTCTAACACTGACCAATAGGAATGCATTGATATTACCGCTGACTCTCTCACATACAATTATTTGACTTTTATCAGTCCAAAAATAAAAGTATACAGAAAATGCAACTTAAATAAATAAAATACAACCAACGGTATTTAATGTATTTTGCCCGAGATTTAAAGCATTAAAAGTTAAAATCACTAAATTAAAAATGAAAATAAATAATAGAAAACAAACTATATTTTAACTGAAAAGAGGATTACTTGAGCTAGTAATTAGGGCTGTATTAGCTAGCTTACATTTGATTTACAGTTACTGCACTTAATACACTTATGTGGGTTTAAAATTATGAATGTCACATTTAATGTCCAACAACAAATATTTGAGCAAAATGTATATTTAACTCGAAATTATTGCGTTCCGTCTGTTTAGCGCACATGCGCGCAGCAGCGATCGTTCACTAGCATAAGCCTCGCCCACTCTTGACAGCAAAATGGATATATTTGCATGACTTTCTAACGTTTACAAATGAAGAATATAACTGTGACGTGTCAGTTATGCACTGAGGAAAACACAACGTCTCAAATGCATTAAACAGCACAAATATATTCGCCGTTTGCCATGGTGGATCGATTTGATCCATGATCGACATTAAGGGCTGCTTAAGAATAAGCATGCACATCAAATTAGCTTCACTCATTGAACCTGAATCAAAATAGTGAGATTGTGTGAATTTAAATAGTCATTTATGGAACCGCTTTAGCCCCAATTGATTTGTTAGGTTATTTCAAGTCAGATTTTAGGGTCTTTTATGAAACAGCCCCCAGTTTATTAAGAAATGTGGCATTATTTACGCCACACCAAACAGTTTTTCTCCAAATAAAGTTTGTTGTTGTTTTAAAAAACAAAAACAAAAAAAAAAAGAGTACTTGTTTTCCAAGTGCTAAAAGTTTTACTTGTTTGAGATGAAACATGATGTATGCTTGAGGCTTGACGTATGGCAAAAGCCGAAAAATCACATTAAATATCAGTTAATACTTTTGTCATTTTTTGTCATCAAGCTCCAATTGTCGAATGATGCAGAAGTGTGAAAATATTATGTAATTGCATGTACTTGGTAGTATTCATAAAATGCTAGCTATGAAATTCACTTTAGTTAGACCAAGGAGTCGGCCATTTAATTAAAAATTGTGGTGGGAATGAGTATGACTTGCAGAACAAATTATTTATGTTAAATATATATTTGCCATTAGATAATTTTACTTATCAAACTAGCTTGAAAAAGTATTTAAAAAGTGACTTTTCTACAAATCTATAAGGCCAGCAGAGCCCCTCGATGAAGAAACTTTTTGTTCAATGAGGTTTTCCAAATGAAAAAAAAAATAAATAAATAACTACATCACTGTCGTCATATTAATTTTTGTTCATGATACACCAAGGCCCAGGAATGTAGTAAGTCGCTTTGGATAAAAGCGTCTGCTAAATGACTAAATGTAAATGTTTAGTTCATCTTCAATTTTGCTTTGTTGTGAAGAAGCATGTATTAAAACATTTGTTTTGTTTGTTTTGGTCGGCCCCGATGCACCTTAGGATTACGTATCTGTTTTTCCGTCTGTCCCAGGGCTTTACTAATACAGTGGCAAAGTCTGTGAACACGCTTTTTCCTCGCTCTTTCACCCCGTCCGTCCTGTACATCTGAAACTCTACAGTTCTCTTTTTGTTTGTGGTGCATTTATAAATGTTTGTGTGTTAGTTTTGCTTCCTTTGTGAAATTCACTGCTTCCAATGTCGCCATAATTTTACCAGAACTGAAGATGACCGGCTCCATACTTGACAGTAGATCTGTTCTCCCGACCTCAAACTCTCCAGCGGCATGATGAAATCATAATTACGTGCTTATTGTAATGTTTCGATACTTCTGAAATTCTTTGAATTAAATTGGGAAGGTTTAGCCTCTGCTGTCATGTTTTGAGCTGGTCTTGTTCAGTTCACCTTAGAAACGCACAAGTCGGAGTTTTATTATCCAAACAGTTGATACCTGGAAACCACACAGTCACGACTTAATTTGTGCATGTTTGTGAGAATGAATTCCAGATGTAATGCAATTAACCTCATGATTTTCCTGCCAAAATGTTAATATAATGATAACAGACGTGTGATTTTTGAGATGCATCTAATTTGGTATGACAAGTGGTTTCCATCCTTAAGGACCCATTTATTTTTGGTGGCATAATTGCAGGGCCTCTAGATTTAATTTGATTAAAAAATACAAAAATAAAAAACTGCAAACTTCTTTCTGAATTGGCCTTTCTCAAAAGCCAAATGTTGGCATAACATGGTTTTAAGAATGATAAGCACCAGTGGCATAGCCTTTTTCATTGTCATCATAATCATCAAACCATTCTTTTTATGTGTACTCCTATTTTGCCACCTTTGTCTCAGGATGGTGGATGTGGGAGGGCAAAGATCAGAGCGCAGGAAGTGGATCCACTGCTTTGAGAACGTCACGTCTATCATGTTCCTGGTTGCCTTGAGCGAATATGACCAGGTCCTTGTGGAATCTGATAATGAGGTGATTTTTTAAATCGTGTTTTGTATTTATTTATTATAATTAATATTAGTATTTTTTTTTTTTTTTAGTTATTGCATAGTTTTTATAATGTATAAAAAACATTAAAATTAATATAATGTACATTTACAGATTTTTAATGTTTAATTATATTTATACATTTTATTAGTATTATTAGTAGTACAATTAGTCATTTTATATATTTTATAATGTATATATCAAAATAAGAATTCATTAATGTATATTTGTTTTATATATGAATGATTTAATATTGATATAATGTTAGTTGTTTTTATAATGTATAAATATTCAAATTAATAATGAACACTTATAAATTTTATTATTTTCAATTGTTACATTTATTATTTATATTTATACTTTTTAAAATATAGTTATTATAATCAATATTAGTAATATAGTTTTTTTAGTTATTACATAATTTTTATAATGTATAAAGAAACATTCAAATTAATATACCGGTAATGTGCAATGACAAACTATTTTAATGTTTAATTATATTTATACATTTTAATTTATTAGTATTAATATTACTAGTATTAGTTATTTTATATATATGTATATATCAAAGGAATTCATTAATGTATATAATTTGTTTTATATAATTTTGAATTATTCATATTTAATATTATTATGTGTTATTTTAGTTGTTTTTATAATGTAGAAATATATTAAAATTAGTAATGTGCATTTATAAATTATTATTTTTAATTGTTACATTATTACCGGTATATATTTATACATTTTAATGTTTTTTTTGTATTTTATAGATTTTTGTAATGTATTCATATATTTTAAATGTATTTATTAATTATTAGTATTAGGTATTTTTATTTTATAATGTGTAAAAATTTGACATTCATTCATTTAAATATTTAATTTCTAATTAGTATTTACTTACAGAATTTTTATTTTATAAATTGTGTATTATAGAGTAATATAATATGAGTATAATAGAGTATATTTGGAAATACATTCCTCAGTCATTGAGGTTCATCAGCTAGATTTGCATTAGCCGCAGTTAATGATGCAAAAGTCGAAGCTGGGCCGCTCCTTTCATTGTTGTATTTTTGTTTCTGAATTCTGCAGAATCGCATGGAGGAAAGCAAAGCGCTGTTTCGCACAATCATCACCTACCCCTGGTTCCAGAACTCTTCAGTCATTCTGTTCCTGAACAAGAAGGATCTTCTGGAGGAGAAGATCATGTACTCTCACCTGGTGGACTATTTCCCTGAATTTGATGGTAACAGCCTTTTCACAATGAAGCCTACACTGACACCATGTGGTAGACTTGTGAACTGCAACCACTTCCATAGCCCGTTTTGTCTTCAAAATCAATGCTTATCTCATTTACTGACTCACAGGTCCGCAGAGGGACGCCCAGGCGGGCCGCGAGTTCATCCTGAAGATGTTTGTGGACCTGAACCCAGACAGTGACAAGATCATCTACTCGCACTTCACCTGCGCCACAGACACCGAAAACATCCGCTTCGTCTTCGCGGCAGTCAAGGACACCATCCTGCAGCACAACCTCAAAGAGTACAACTTAGTGTGAGAGAGAGACCAAACGAGAGCGAGACACCTGCAGCCCACACATGGCCAAAAGCACTACACACCTCACACGCAGAAACACATGCACGTGAACCGTTCGGACACACCTTCACACCCATTAGGCACTGGATCTTCTCATAGTCCTTTTCTTTGCCTGTTTTTTCCTCTCTTCCTGAGTGTCGACCCCTCCAGCTGATAGCTTTATCGTCCAATCTTCCTCAAACACGAAGGCTGGGCTGTTAAACCGGTGCCTAATGACGAAGAGCATTCGTTTGCTCTGTAGATGGGCTGTAGGTGGGCTCTACCTGATTGAAACTGAGGTACGAATTTAATGGAAACACTCTGTGGAGACGCAACACGTCCGAAACGAAGAGTGGGCGACATTCTTGAAGGACTTCACCTTGCATCACTGAATTTAACGAGGTGTTAGTTGTGCAATCACATGCTATAACATTAGAGGTGGAGGTGATTTGATTTAATATTATTTTAGGAGTGAAGTATAGAGATTTCCCCATCACTACTGGAGTACTTGGAAAGAGATGGTGCACCATGTGACTTTTTTCGTAATATGTGACCGATAAAATGAGTAATGAAAGCCACCAGTTTTTTTTTGTTTTTTTTCAAACGTTCAGTTCCCAAAATTGTTTCTAAAAACACCCAGTTCACTTCTGTATCCACTAAAATTATCATTCAGGCGGCGAACTGTTTCCTCCAGTCTGATGTTTGCCAGTATTGGGTTTTTAATCAGTATAATTAAAGAGATACAACTAGTATTCAAAGATAATTACCGAAAGATTGTGCTTTGTTTACATGCTTCGTTACATCAGTTTTGAATCTTTGACCGAAGGAATCAAATAAACGCCTTTCCTATGAGATATGAATATCCAGTGATGTAAATGTTCGTAAACTCACTTGGAACTCAGCGCAAAAATGCTATATGGTGAAATCGATTTAGTTTTTTTATTTATGTAATTTATGGACCAGATATGTAATTAGTCGGACTCACTTTTCCATCGGAACTGAGTCTCTACTGCTGTAAAAAAAAAAATCCATTGGCAAGTGATCTTTTCTTTTTGGTATTTTGTAAATCGATTGTCGCCGTGCTGTTCTTTTTTTTTTTTTTGCCGAATATTTTAAATGCTTGAAAATGGGAAGTTGAATTTTCATTTCATCAACGTCGCTTTATGCAAATAGGAAATTGAGAATTTTATCAGTGGTTGAATTCTTAACTGGTCTCTGCTTGCGTTGTTTTTTGAGAGTTCGCTCTCGGTTTCGTAGTACCATATCTTAGTTCTCGCTTGATTTAGCTTTTTGGATTCCATAGCCCTGTTTTTTCCTCTCTTCCTGAGTGTCGACCCCTCCAGCTGATAGCTTTATCGTCCAATCTTCCTCAAACACGAAGGCTGGGCTGTTAAACCGGTGCCTAATGACGAAGAGCATTCGTTTGCTCTGTAGATGGGCTGTAGGTGGGCTCTACCTGATTGAAACTGAGGTACGAATTTAATGGAAACACTCTGTGGAGACGCAACACGTCCGAAACGAAGAGTGGGCGACATTCTTGAAGGACTTCACCTTGCATCACTGAATTTAACGAGGTGTTAGTTGTGCAATCACATGCTATAACATTAGAGGTGGAGGTGATTTGATTTAATATTATTTTAGGAGTGAAGTATAGAGATTTCCCCATCACTACTGGAGTACTTGGAAAGAGATGGTGCACCATGTGACTTTTTTCGTAATATGTGACCGATAAAATGAGTAATGAAAGCCACCAGTTTTTTTTTGTTTTTTTTCAAACGTTCAGTTCCCAAAATTGTTTCTAAAAACACCCAGTTCACTTCTGTATCCACTAAAATTATCATTCAGGCGGCGAACTGTTTCCTCCAGTCTGATGTTTGCCAGTATTGGGTTTTTAATCAGTATAATTAAAGAGATACAACTAGTATTCAAAGATAATTACCGAAAGATTGTGCTTTGTTTACATGCTTCGTTACATCAGTTTTGAATCTTTGACCGAAGGAATCAAATAAACGCCTTTCCTAGCCGATTCATTCATGTTTTACTCAGTATAACATTCAATATCCAGTGATTTAAATGTTCGTAGACTCGACGCAAAAGTGCTATATAGGGTGAAATCCATTTAGTTTGTTTTATTTATGTAATTTATGGACCAGATATGTAATTAGTCGGACTCACTTTTCCATCGGAACTGAGTCTCTACTGCTGTAAAAAAAAAAATCCATTGGCAAGTGATCTTTTCTTTTTGGTATTTTGTAAATCGATTGTCGCCGTGCTGTTCTTTTTTTTTTTTTTGCCGAATATTTTAAATGCTTGAAAATGGGAAGTTGAATTTTCATTTCATCAACGTCGCTTTATGCAAATAGGAAATTGAGAATTTTATCAGTGGTTGAATTCTTAACTGGTCTCTGCTTGCGTTGTTTTTTGAGAGTTCGCTCTTGGTTTCGTAGTACCATATCTTAGTTCTCGCTTAATTTAGCTTTTTGGATTCCGTAGCTAGCTGGCTTTTTTTGGGGAGGGGGGATCTTTATGATGTAATTCAGGTGAGTTTTCATACTTTTCATTACAAGGGCTAATTGTGGGCGGAGAATGAAAGGACTCTATGAAGACGCTAGAGCAATAGGTACGCCAAAGTGGGTATCTGAATCAGGGACAGCGCGGGTGACACCACAGGAGTTGCCATTTTCCGTAGGTTCAGCTTGCAGTGCATCTAGGGAGCACCTTCGGAGATCCTCGGAAAATGTATGCCATTTCTTGCAGCAAGTCAAGCGACTTCAAATGGACTGTTTTGATTTTGTACGTTTAGGAATGAAGTATTCGGTGGCGGTGGTGTCACGCGTTTCTCTTTGCCATGTTTGGATTCGGGGGCCGTGACGGTATCGCTTTTGAGGCCTGTTTACTCATTTATCGTACACTTTTTTTTTTTTGGCCAACTGGCTATGAATTTGTCGCACATTAGCACTCGTACAGTCTTATTGGCTTTGTTCGTATTATTGAAACATCATAGCTTGAGAGAACCTGAATTTGCGAAAATCACGGCATCTCGCGTAATGATTTAGCGAAATATGTGAATCACAACGGTCACTTAATGGCAATTTTTTTTAAACTAGTAATTGAATGTATTGTAGGAGGATTCCTTTTTTGTGACGAATTACATTGGAAGTGTCGTTTTGAAGGTGTATACGCAATTTTCCCTGTATATTTGCCATTTTATTGCGTTTAATTAATCCTGTACGCCTTCTTTACACATACATTTAGACCTTTTAGTGCATTTTACGAATTGTCTGCCAAATTGTGAACTTTTTTGTCTTTAACTAAACAATCCTCCCGTGCTAGGCCAGTTGAGCTGCTTTTTTTGTTTTATTTTGTTTAGTTTTCGTTTTTCAAACATCCAGATTTGCATACCGTCATGCTTCTGGGCGGGGCTTCACACTTCATTCATTTTAAATTGTGTTTACTTTGGTGGGATGGTGCTGTCAGTCATCATATGCCAATTTCAAACTGTTTCGTTGTTGTACAAATAGTAGACCTGCAAATTTACGATGGCATTTCTGAACACGTGAACGTTTAAAGCTTTTGTACATACAGCTTTCATTTTAAAGGGCTTGGCCTAATCTAAGAAACACCTTTCTTTATCCAACAGAAACACTACAACCAGTCATTTCGTACCCATTAAGTACCACAAAACATCAGAATATGTTGTACAGATGATAAAAATAGCATTGATATCCTGTTCTGCTGGTGTTCAAGGGGATTTTTGGTCGTTCTCAACAATTTGTGATGAAGTTTGATATGTTTTTCCTCCCTGGGTTAATGCACTGAGCCTACTCTGCAGTAATGGAACGAACTCCACTCATGTGACGTATCTGTTCCTACAAACTTATTCCTGATACTCTGAGAGATGCAGACACTAATGAATAGAAATGACGCTTTCGCTTGAGGTCCACATTGACGTGATGGATGCGTACAATATGAAGCTATCTTTACCTTTTTTTTTTCTGATGTCGATGCATTACCTGAACACTTGTATGTAGGACACTTTAATACAGGGGTGTCCAAACTGCGGCCCGTGGATGAATTTTAAGCGGCCCGCAGCTGTCTTAATAGTCTATATTATATATGGCCCGCCAAGCATAATTTACAAAATAGGCCTATGCAGTTTCAAAATGTCAACACAAGATGGCAGCACTAAATTTTAGACCAGATGTAGCAGTAAAACGCGAGTGATATCAATTTGATAACTCATATGCGCTCTTATTTCTTTAGCGCACGCAAATTCCTAAACGCGTCAAACGCGGAAGAGCGCGACTCGTTTGAACCGCGCTGCACGGACCATTTTTAACTCTGCCTAAAGACAGCGTAACGCGAGCTCAGAACAAATGCGTTTACTCGTTTACTGATCTCGATCACGAGACCACTAAACGCTAAACAGCGCTGTGAGAAGCGTTTGAGATTGGAGCAGAGGTTTCCATACAAACCACAGATGTCAAAGGCAGATGAAACAGCGCTGACATTCTCAACAACACTAACGCGGAAAATAGGAAAAACATTGTGCGACAACAATGCAGTAAGAATACTTTTCAATCCACAAATCACCAACATTTTGATTTACTGTAGTAACCGTAACTGTGGTATTGTGGCAGAAATGTTGCATATTTATACAGA